CAGCCTCAAGCCCTTGGAAGTCAGATTCAATCAAGAAAGTTGCTCTGTTCAGCTAAGTATCCACACCCACACAACATAAAACTTTCCATCTTAACGTATAGTAACAACCCTGATGTTCATGCTTCATCATTCATAAATTTCTAGAATTTCACCCACGGGTTTCTTTATAGTTAAAATACTCCTGCGTGATGGTAAAAAAAAAAACGAGAGAAACCATATCCCTTGCTTCAGTTAATGGACTCGATCCATTCCTTTGGCAAGTGCATGATCACAAAAATTGTCCGAAAAACTGAAGAAAGTTCAATTGTCTCGAGATCATCAGAAGGCACCTTATACTGAGAAAGCGGTGTGATATTATCCATCCATTTCAAAACACTTCAATTTCTTGAATGATATGTAATTCCACTTATAAAATTACAGAAAAAGACAATCAAACATGAAGATTTTAAAAAATGCCCAAAAAGAAGCAATGATCTCCGAAGTTGAAAACTTGCCGAAATGCTTCCCAAACCGAAGCTTCCAATATTTCTGACGCATATAAGAATCGCATTTCAAGGAGTCCATTATACACGAGACATCAATATGAACACAGTTGTGAACCCGATTCCATGGAGGGGAACAATCCATTATGCGAGGCATTAATTATTCATGGGGACCCCGCTTATCGGACTACCACATTGCGCCCGCATGTCGGATCATAGGTTTTTCCGTACATCATCTCCAATATGATAAAATCATTGTCGAAAACTTGTATGCCCCAGGGGAGGAAACTGAACCTCTTTGAAAGTCAGGGCCAACTGTTTCTTCGAAGTAAAAACCCGCAAAAAAATAAAATTCAATACGCTACGTACCGATGACTTCGCGTACAATTCTCTCGTACGACGTTCCATGCACTCACGAAGATCAATCAAATGGCGTGGTGGGAACATTATACGGGGANCTTTTAAACTTGTTACATGGTCTTTGAACTTGACTTCAAATGGAATTTTATTTGCTGAAAAGATGAATCTGGAAATAAGTGTTCAGATGAGTTAGTCAAAGATCTGAAGAAATTATTCTTGATCAACAAGGAGTTTCCAGAAGAAGAGGGAAAAGGAATTAGGGGAGATTCCCAAAGCCTCCATTGAAGGTCAAGGGAATCCCATCTGTGAGAGGATCTTTTTGTCCTGCAAACCCTGTCCATCAATCAAAAGCACCCCTCTGCCAAGTTTCATCAGGAACAGGGTAGATTAATTTCCAGGCTCTGCCTGTTGAGTTCCATATCAATGCCACAGTCTCCAGGTCTTACTTGGCATTACTGGTAATTTTTGTTATGCAATCCAACATCAAGACTCAACAGTTGTTTTCATTGAATTGAATTTAATCTCTCAAAAAAGTTTAACATTTGATTATTTTCATCACTCACAAACACTACTTTTAAGAGAACCAGGGAAAACAATCAATATTAGATTATATGGAAAAAAATTTCTGTGTTATTATGTTAGGAGTACAGCTGTTACTTTGGTTCACTTATGACATTCAAAACAACTTTTCATAAACATATGTGAACCAAACTGCCCTTGCCATAGATGTCACCACTGTTTGAGTGCATTCTGATTTTCTTGCTAGCTGAAATTGTGCAAGTAACCAGCAAATAATGGGATTGAAGTTTATTCATTGTTCACAATATTGTACAGTACCTTCAAGTTCTTAGAGTTCGCATAATGATGACTTATAAAAATGTCCAGATGATTTGGAAGATTGAAAACAGTTTAAATGCACTTTACATTCAAACATAAAGTTATGCTCAAACCATTTGGAACAATTAGATCCTCTGGAAGTCTGGAGAATCCCACACTTAAAAATTAAATCTTCCAATTTTCATATTCTACATGATCATGAGAATTGCTTGTTCAACAGAAAATTTCCACTTCAAAAATGAAGCCATTATAAGATTCATTGAACACAAAGCATTCAGTTGAATTCAAGAAAAGTTAAAAGAGGTGGGATCCTCCAGGAGGATCCCTTATCCTCAATTTCCAGGAAAACTTTTTGCTCTCTGTATGAAATTTGATAATACCATTGGCAGATCTGAGTTATTGCAGCCTCAAGCCCTTGGAAGTCAGATTCAATCAAGAAAGTTGCTCTGTTCAGCAAAGTATCCACACCCACACAACATCAAACTTTCCATCTTAACGTATAGTAACAACCCTGATGTTCATGCTTCATCATTCATAAATTTCTAGAATTTCACCCACGGATTTCTTCATAGTAAAAATACTCCTGCGTGATGGTAAAAAAAAAACGAAAGGAACCATATCCCTTGCTTCAGTTAATGGACTTGACCCATTCCTTTGGCAAGTGCATGATCACAAAAATTGTCCGAAAAACTGAAGAAAGTTCAATTGTCTCGAGATCATCAGAGGGCACCTTATACTGAGAAAGCGGTGTGATATTATCCATCCATTTCAAAACACTTCAATTTCTTGAATGATGTGTAATTCCACTTATAAAATTACAGAAAAAGACAATCAAACATGAAGATTTAAAAAAATGCCCAAAAAGAAGCAATGATCTCCGAAGTTGAAAACTTGCCGAAATGCTTCCCAAACCGAAGCTTCCAATATTTCTGACGCATATAAGAATCGAGTTTCAAGGAGTCCATTATACACGAGACATCAATATGAACACAGTTGTGAACCCGATTCCATGGAGCGGAACGATCCATTATGCGAGGCATTCATTATTCATGGGGACCCCGCTTATCGGACTACCACATTGCGCCCGCATGTCGGATCATAGGTTTTTCCGTACATCATCTCCAATATGATAAAATCATTGTCGAAAACTTGTATGCCCCAGGGGAGGAAACTGAACCTCTTTGAAAGTCAGGGCCAACTGTTTCTTCGAAGTAAAAACCCGCAAAAAAATAAAATTCAATACGCTACGTACCGATGACTTCGCGTACAATTCTCTCGTACGACGTTCCATGCACTCACGAAGATCAATCAAATGGCGTGGTGGGAACATTATACGGGGAAAACACGTCACAAACACAACACTGATCAGAAAAACCCAATATAGACTTGCGTGAGCTTTCCGGAACACACGATTCAAGAGCACATCGTGAGTGAAATCGACACTTGTTGCGGAGCGAACAGTCAACTGCTGGTTCCGCGAAAAAAATGCACCCGTTTCATTGCCACGTCTGTAGGTCTTGAAGGCTGAGCCGCAACTGCGATCAGAAAGAGGGGAATGACGGACAGATGGCGCGGCCGCCCGGCTGGCAGACAGACGAACCAGTTCATACCATCAGGCTGCGTCGCAGAAAGAGTACAATCATTAGACGCGCATCCATTTTAGCATCGCTTTCTTGTCAAGAAACCCCTCCAAAACCCTCTGAAAATAGTTCAAGATCCTGTTGTACGACTATAAGCGTATTATGAACGATTGTATGCAATTTTTCACGATTTCAAAGCATTTTTAGTGCAGGTAAAAGTCCCGGAATGAATGGACAGCAGCAGGGATGTCACATTGCGCTCGAAGGACCTCCCCCTTTTTTCCTCCCTCTCTCGATTCCGCAAGTGATTGAAAGCTGGCGACGGACTAGTGAGAGAAACGTCATTTGCGCGCCAGGATAAGGACTGAGAGACAGAGATGAGGGAATATGAGTCGACAGGGGGCTGCCAAGCTTGGCTGCGGCGTAAAACGCGATTTTCCTGCTTTTTTTTATTGGGATACTGTCAAGAGCAGGAGGGATACTGTAATTTTTATTTTGAAGAGTCCTGTTGTAGTTTCTTGATTAATAAAGATGAAATTTATGTTTAAAAGCATGGATATTTGATCATTGTCTGACTGTTGTACAAACTTTGTCCTTTAATTTGTGGTTGTCAATTGAGTTCCCAGCAAAAAATTTCGGAGTTGCGTGGCTACTTGCCAGCGTGCTGCCGGCGCGCCAGCGTTATGCGTCGGCCCCGACTCCCAATGTGTCGTTTTCCATCTCCCTTGGGTGTCGGGCCACCCGTCTTGATAACAACTCCTATGCTTAGGGCGTCGGAGGTTTTCCAGGGAGTTGTGGAAATCTAGAAAATGACTACTTGTATAACTACCTAGTGCCAGCGCCCCAGCTTCCAACTCCTAACATTTTTGCTGGGTTATTATGTAATTGTTATTAGTGATATTTTATTTTTCTTTTTGTTAGTTAGTGATGGGAACAAAGTTTATATCAATTGTGCATTTCTAAATCTTGTGATTTATTTTTCTTTTCTTTAATACCCATGAGCAGCTGATTTCTCTATTTTAATCCTGATGATGTGATGGAATGTGTTTGGATGAATGTGGATGGGGAGGGCCAGGGGTTTGGATGTGGGAAGATTCTTTGAAACTTGTGAATGCTGAAAAGTGGAAAATAAAGTTTGTTTATTAATTGATCAATCATGTTTTTGCTCACCCAATTAAATAGAGACAAGTACAAATGAAATATTTGAAAGTGCTCTTCATCCATTTGATTGAATGAGGTCCATTTTTTAAAAATAATTTTTCAGAAATTTTGAAAATTAACTGAATATTCCATATAATAGAAATAACCCTTCAATAAGCAAACCTTCAGGTCTGAAAGCCATGCTTCAATCATTTGAGTGTTCCAATATTGAATATTGTTTTCCTACTTAACTGTGCAGGTCTCACACAAATTGCCATTGATGATCCAGGAATTTATGACTACAATTTAAGAATTCTAACAGGAATCAGGCAAAGATTTCATGAAATTGTTGGTTTCAATCCCAAGGTTCTTGAGAATCTTGACTCGAGAACTGTTGCAATTTATTGAAATTGAATGAAATAATTTGACAAATAAGCCTCTGATTCTGACTACATTTTGGAAGCTAACCTGAACTTTCAAAAGACATAGTAAAGCAATTCTAGGAACTGATGCTTTGGCAATTGAGCCTAACAATAAGGAAATGATAAGAACCTTTAAAAAGTTTTTCTGAGGAGTTGGTCTGACTAATTTCCTGTATGGTCAGCTGTGATTGCCAGTATCCTTATCCAGACAGTGTGTAATTGTCATCAGTAGTGTTGTGCTTTAACCTTATCTGGTGAGAGTTGAAATACTTTGAAAAATATAGTTTAAAACATGGCTGATGTTGGGCTTGAACCTGGATGTGAGTCCAGCAGACTGCAGGCTTTCCTAAAGTCTGGACAACAGTCAGGAAATCTCATGTATTGTACCCTTAGGGAGGCCCAGATTTTCTGTGATGCATTTCTGGTGTCTTCTGATGGACATGGATTTGGAGTTCACAGGTCAGCCAGTCCTAAACTCGACCCTAACACATACCATTTTTTCCAAACCATTTTTTCACCACACATAAATAAATATATATTATATCCATGGAAAAGTCAGTTGATTGTGTAATTTGCAAAATTTTATTTTATTTTTCTCAGGGCATTTTTGGCTCAGAAAAGCATGGTGATGATGAGACTCTTCAGTGAGAGAAACAACAATGAAAACCAAGTCTACAAGATTGATTCTACTGCAGCAGTTCTTGAGATAGTGCTGAAATGTGCTTATGGGAAAGCAGAAGTGCTGTCTCTATTAGGGGCCCAGGAGGCTTTTGATGTCTTGAATGTTGCCCAACAATATGGCTTTAAAGTCATAGAAAAATCTTGCTGCAAGGTGCTGCAGAATAGGATCACCTTGCAGAACTGTTTGCACACCATGGGGACTGCGACTGCTTTGGGAAAGAGGGAACTGAAAGAGGCTGCTGAGACCTTTGTTCTGAGGTATAAGCATTTCATTCATTCCAAAAATATGGATACTCTAGCAATAAACAGAACATTGTCTGCAGGAACTTTGATCAGTTGTACACCAACAGCCCAGAATTCCTTGAATTGCCTTTCAAGGAATTTGAAGCTTTGTTGATGAACAAGAAGCTGTTTGTCCCAGAAGAGGCCATGCTCCTGGATGCTATGGCTCATTGGATGCTGCATGATCCACTCAGAGCAAGGTATTCATCAAACCTTCTCAGCCTGGTGAAGTTTTGGTGGCACAAGCAGACCACCAGGGGTGAAAGGCACAGAGTCAAGGAGATTGTACTCAAGTACCCAAGGTTGTGGCAATGGACTGACTGGGCTGCAGCTGCTTGTGAAGGTCCCCCAGGATTCATCCCTTCACCAAACACCTTTCCTGATGGCACCAGGGTCCCAAGGTGAGGATAATGGCAATTAATAGGAAATAGCTTCCAATATACATTGTACCAACTTAATATACTGTACCTTTAAATATATACTGACCTTAACATACCTAATATGATTCAAACTCTTTCATGAACCATGTAATGTATGTAATGTAACCTCAACAATTGGTACTTTCCTGTTATCTCAGTACCCATTTTTCTTTGTCTCGTGAATTCAGTATTTGTTAGGTTGGGTTAGGTCAGGTTATGTTAATTGAAACATATTTGTAACTAACATAACCTGACCTAACCTAACTTTACCTAACCGCCTCCCAAAATCAGTTTCAGCAGAATGCAGAAAAATGAAATTCACAGTTTCTGGTACGTGCACGGAAAGTAGGTACTGAGATAACAGGAAAGTACCCAACCAATCTATGACCTTTCACTACCAAAGAAATACAGTCTTAAAAGATGAATCAACATAGTCCAACACATCAGGTACCTAGCCCATTTTGCTTGAATCCCAGCCAATACTTGTGACCAATGTTGATGCATGTGTGTGTGTCAATTTAGGGGCCAATCCAGAACTAATCCAACAGTCTTGAAAGATAATAAAGAAAATTGTATATGAGGAAGAAAATGTGCTTTAGACATAAATGGACTCTACCTAGTTTGATGCTATTCATTTGTTATCCACCACTTATGGAGGATGAATTTGGTGTCTGTAAGATAGAAAAGTGCAGTCCAAGGCAATTAAGAGGTATATATCCTTAAAATAAACCTTATACAGTATTCAAAATAAATTTTTAGGACAGTAATAGTGGCCATTGGTGGCTGGGGAGATGGTGCACCCACAAATACTGCAGAAGTGTTTGACTACCTCAACAACTCCTGGAAGGTGGACAAGAGGTTTGCACTTGAAGAAAGGCGCGCATACCATGCATGTCTTGTCAAGGACAAGAAGGTGTATGTCTATGGTGGCTTTGATGGCTCAAACTTTCTCTCCAGCCTCCATGTCCTTGATCTTGATGACATTGAAGCTGGATGGGTGGAGAAGACTGGGATGCACCATCAGAGGTGCTACATTGCTGGTTGTATTTTTCAAGACCAACTATATGCCATTGGTGGGCTTGATGGTCTGGTCAGGATTGCCACTGTTGAAAGGTTTCTACATACATACTTAATTTATTTTTGAAGACCAAAACATCTTTGTGACAAATGGTTTTGAACCAAAGGTTCAATGAAGAATTGAACCAATGGGAGATGATGCCAGACTTGTGCAAGGCAAGAAGTGATGCCTCTGCTTGTGACCACAAAGGCAATCTTTATGTGGCTGGAGGCTTTGATGGACACATGGTGCTGCACTCTGTGGAAGTATTTAATCCTGATACAAAGACCTGGAAACTGATCCAACCTTACATGTCTTCAGCAAGGTCTGGCCTCAGCATTGTGAGCTACTCTGGCAGACTATTTGTCCTTGGTGGCTTTGATGGCACTTCAAGGACCTCCAGGTCTGAGTGGTTGGATGAAACCACCAGCCAGTGGATCCAAGCACCAAAACTCACATTTGAAAGGTGGTTGGGAACTGAAATTTTTAATTTCATCCCATTCTATTATTTGCATTCTTTCAGGTCCAACTTTTCTACAAAGGTCATTGAGGGAAAGCTGTTTGTCTTTGGAGGCTACAATGGTCTCAGGACTGTGGAGACAGTTGAATACTTTGAAGAAGAAGACCCAAGTGACTGGAAAATTGCTCAAAAAATGCCATTTGCTAAGTCAGCTCTTGGTGTTGCCATCATCTCTAACTGCTTTGTGGATGTTCTTGGAAGATTTTAATCCATCCATTTTGAGACAAATTTTCAGATTTTTGCTGTTCTAAAGAAATAATAAACAGGATTATGTTTACTGTGAAACCCATTGAAGGTTTATTATATGTGGCTGAAAGAAGCTATGTGTTGAGCATTATGTGGGTGATACAGTGTGTATACTGTGTTATCCCTGAGATGTATGCAAATAATGGTTCCTGTATACTAAATTACACTATGGACTCTAACCCAGAGGAATCCTCAGATGAGGATGAGTTCTATCAAGGTCTCTACAAGAACCATTTGCTCTGTGATGGCACCATAGTGTCCAGTGATGGCCACAGTTTCCCTGTACACAGGTACCCATTTCCAGAACTCTCACCCAGAGGGTTGCAATGATCCATTGGCTTTAATACTTTAGGGCATTTGTGCACCATAAGAGTCCTTTTCTTGGCACTCTTTTTTTCAACCCACTTGGAGCAAAAGAATTGGACCAAGTGAAACTGAAAGCTCTGGACTCAAAGGACTTGATGGAGTGTCTGACCATGGTTTACTCTTTACCCACACTGGGGAACCTGGAGAATTGTTTGAGATTAGCTGATAAGTTCTTGATTAAGCAAGTGAGAGTCAAGTGTGCCAAGATGCTTGAAAGTCAGCTAAGTGCCATGAACTGCATCCAAACTTTTACTTTGGCCAGGAAGTACAGATGCATCAAATTGTTCAAGACTTCCAAGAGATTCCTTTTGAGGCATGTGTAGTGTTTTCCCCCTACAAATTCTATGTCAGACAGAAAAGCCTCTGGAATCCCCCTTTTTTCAGGCACTTGCATGAATTCTATAAGATCTCAAATGAGTGGAAGCAGTTCTCAGCCTCAGATTTGGCAAATCTTCTCAGCAGCAAGTGGCTGTACCTTCCTGAAGAGGTTCAAATCTTGGACATCATTGCCAACTATGTCCTTTCACAGCCAAAAGCCAAGCAGATTGACTGTGGCAAGTGTCTGCTAACTGCTGTGCGTTTTGGCCTCATTTGCCTCAACTTCAGTGGCAACCCTGAGAGGGTGGATGCCCTCAAGTCTTTGTATCCATCCCTGAAGCTGTGGACAACTTGGAGACACCTTTTGATGGAAGAGCTGAGTGGTTTCTCAAATGAATACAGCAGTCTTAGGCCTGGGTATCTTCCAAGAATGCCAAGGTATAGTGGCCTTATTCAATACTGGTACCAAAAATGTCTCCCAATAACTTGAAGGTTGTGATTTTTGGTCTTCGAAACTTTATTTGAGAAATGCAATGTTTATGAGTATTGTTTACAGTACTGTTGTTTAATAACTCCCAATTGTATAAGATGTGCAGAAGTTGGACAACACTTGAAAAAGCACTGTCTGTATTTATTTTTATGCGCTTATCATACATCAAGAGAGAAATTTTAACTTTTTTTAGCATTCAAAATAAGTAATATATGCACAGGTGGTACCTTGCAATTCAATCCTAATCTGTTGCCAAACTATAATTAAATTGCAAAGCGCTCAAATTGTGAGACACTGTGAATTTCAAAAATATCAGTACAAAAGTGCCAAAAAGTGGCCAATAGCAGGTTGAATTGCAGGTCAAGGGTTGAATTGCAAATCAACCTCCCTGCAAAACTGACCATCAAATTGTGGAATGGTCACATTGTGGGAGGTCAAATTGTGAGGTACCACCTGTGCAGTACAATACATATAGAGATTGCTTCCAGAACTACTGTAGTATATAATTTTGACAAAGGTTTGCAGCTGCTGTGACTTATTCTGTTGTAGGGTATAAAAGTTACCTTCTGGATAGTTTAAACATAGGTCTTTGAGTCACCAGTTGATGTACAGTTTACAGAAAGGTGTTGGCCAACAGGTATGGTGTTTTGACCATTGGGGGCTGGTCCGGAGACAGGAGCACAAATGCAACTGAAGCTTATGACTGTGGTACAGACAATTGGTTTCAGAGACCATCCTACCAACTACCACATACTCTTGCCTATCATGGTGTGGCATCTTTGGGCACCAGAGTCTACATATTTGGTGGATTTGATGGGACCAACTATTATAACTCTGCCTACATGCTGGATGTCACCAAGTGCCAATGGAAAGAGGTGGCTTGCATGTCCAAGCTGAGGTGCTATGTTTCTGGCTGTACTTTGAATGGTGAAATCTATGCCATTGGTGGCCATGATGGGATCATCAGACTTAACTGTGCTGAAAAGCAAGTATTTATTGAAATACTACAATGCAGGAATACCTCAAACCTTGAACTCAACTTCTTCAAATGAATTTAGTTAATTGTGTTTTGGTTAGGGTAATACCTTACATCCCAGACAATTCAACTTTGTAAACCTATATTAAAAGTATATTCAATTTGAAAATTGCATGGCCAACAAGTTGAATTACAGTGGCTCCCCACCTAACAGACCTCCCGTGTAAGGGATTTTTGCCAAACAGACCAGCTCTGTCTGTACATATAATATCTGCTGCTTATTGCTGGACAATATATCACCCTTTTATTCTCTACAAGGAAAATTTGAAATTCCCATGTGTCAACTACTGTATACATAGATGTCGCATCTCGAGACAGACCTAGAATTAGGCATGAAACAGTACCAATTTTGCCGGCAAATATTCGAATACACAGTCTACGGATATTTCAACACGTAACCCGCCAGTGAAACGACCTTCAGGACACTGCTGGGATCCAAGAACTGGTTGAGAACCAGTTCTAAAAATCCATCAACAACTATGAAAAGCTTTTCAAAAAAGAAGAGGTCACTGTACTGGTTTGGGAAAATTCCAGAGCTTTGTGTCTTGCTTGGTGTCTTATTATTCCAGCACTTGGAAATCTTTGTGCAGTCTTCAATTGTGTGTGTGGTCTTATAGGCATTTTTTCTTTTCTGTAATGAAATGTTAATCCTGAGGCCCGATGCTCTGACACATAATGGCCTATTATCGTGTTTACTCATCTTGATTACAGGAATAAGCATTTAATTCTTTGTGTGTAGCTGTAGCATCTTTAGGGCACAGATACAATTGAAGTTTGTAATTTAAACTTGAATTTTAAATTGTTAAATGTTCTGGGTACAGTACAGTGGTCCCCCACCTAACAGACCTCCTGTGTAAGGGATTTTCGCTGAATAGACCAGCTCTGCAAGCAGTTTTTCCTCCCGCCCAACAGACAAAATCCGCTGAACAGACTTCTTTTGGTTTAAAATTAGTGTTGAAAATTGAAATTTTAGAGTTTTTATGTAATTGAATTCGTGTAAAGGACTTTTTGTTTAACAGACTCGTCCCTTGCATGAATCAAGTCCGTTAGACGGGGGTTGACTGTATACTTGTTTTAGAATTGATTGATTGTTCAGTCTTCTGAATTTTGTGTGGTATGATTGTATGAATGATCATTTTCAGTTTCATTATTGATGGAAAAATTTATTTTTAGATTTAAAGTTGCTGAACTGTACTGTATTTCCTTTCATAGCTATGGTGCTAAAAATGGGTGTTGCCATTATATATAGATACAGTGAACAACACAACCAATGGAGTGCCATTGCCAAAATGCACAGACACAGGAGTGATGCCACAGCATGTGCTCATCAAGGGAAAATCTTTGTGGCTGGAGGCTTTGATGGAGAGTCTAGCACTGACTCCGTGGAGTTCTATGACCCTCAGAAAAACATCTGGACTGTGGTTTCTGCCATGACACTGCCATCAAGAGTCTCTGGCTTATGTCTGACTGTTTGGCAAGGTGCTTTGTGCACTTTGGGGGGCTTTGACTCTGACACCAGGCTCCAAAGTGTTTACAGGTGGAATGAAGATGCCCTGAGATGGGAATGGGAAGCCATGATGCTTTATCCTAGGCAAGTTTTGAGCACACAATAGTAGTAATTCATCCAACTATACTGAATAAAGTAGCTTCAATAAACAACCCTTCTAAAAATAGGGCATTATTACTACTGTGAGCTGCCCTTTGTTTCAACATCTATTCTCTTTATTCAATATGCCTAATATCAAATTTGAATTTATGAAATTTTGACTGAGCGCTTAAATCAAAACCCTGCTGTAAATTCACATCAGCCATTCTGTTCAAATTGGACAATTGAAGTTGATAGTTATTATCTGAGTATAGTGGATGTTTTTTTTGTGACCAAAGATGATGAAATTTTTCAAGTTTCAGGTCCAACTTTTGTGCTTGGGAGATGCTGGGGAGATTGTATGTGGCTGGGGGTTTTAATGGGCTTCAAACTGTGGATTCTGTGGAGTACTTGAACCCTTGGCCAGAGTCTGGTTGGACTCATGTAGCAAGCATGTGTGTGTCAAAGTCAGCATTTGCTGTGGTCTTGTTGGAAGACTGTCCAGCTGACCTCAGCTATGCCTTTGAGCTGACCCAGTCTGAAAGAAACTGAGTTGGTTGCCATTTAACTCATTGTTCAGTGCATTTGTCATCAACCAACAAACTCTGAGTGTGCCTCTCATTTTTTCTGCTTCTTGGCATCAGGCACCACAACTTCACCAACATCCCTGAGCACCAGAATCTTGCTGGGATCATAGCCCAAGTCCTTTCCATCAACTGCCCTTGGACCCCCAGAGTGTGGCATATTTGGGTCAGCATTGAAAGAAAAGGACAAATCTGGAAATCTTCCTCCAAGGGATCCAAATGGTGGCTTGGTGACCAGCTCCATCTGTTGAGGCACTTGATAAACTTCACCAAGGGTCTTCCAGATGCTGTTTCTTCCCCTGGCTTCATGGGATCTTTGTGCCATTAAGGTCTGGGCCACTGCTGCAGCATTTTGCTTCTCAGCTTCTGGGATCTCATGTGCAGCAGGAGGATCTTCATTGCTGTTGGAATTTAAAGAAACTCTTCAATCATTTGTTTTTCTACCTTTTGCATAATATGAATGAATGATGAATGAACAGAACACTTTATTTGCCGGATGTCCCGTTTTATTTTGTGGACTGTGTTCTCTTTTGTTTTTGTCATTGGTTTGTGCTTTGTTTCATGCTTTGAAGTGATTGAATGTCTTTGGGGGGAGTTGGGTTGGGTGGGGTCAATCACGTCAAAGCATGAAACAAAGCACAAACCAATGACAAAAACAAAAGAGAACACAGTCCAAAAAATAAAACTGGACATCTGACAAATATGCATACACCCACCCATCCCCCAACATTGAAGACAAAGCAGCAGTAAAAGTTTATTTAAAGCGCAAGGTCTTCAGCCTGCTTCTGTATGAGTTTTAGTTAAATGAACAATTTAGAGAGAATCTTTGATGAGAAATCATATAAGGACAAAAATTTATCTTGATCCTTTAAGATTTCAGAAAGTGTCTCTTCATTGAATTTCAGTAATTTTAAATCCTTCTTAAGCTGATTTCTATTCATATGAAATGCTGGACATAAGAAGAGAAATAATATAGAAAAGTACCTGATGAAATTTTCCATGTCATAGTTCCAGTCTTTAATACTTTGTTCTTCAGTCTGTTTCTTTCCTGATGCCCTCTGGGTAATAAGAAACAATAAGGTTATTCAACTGTTGCACAGAACAATTGAATGTTTGCTTACTTGATTGCTCTTTGGGACCTCTTCAGAGAGCCCAGGAGGAACCTGTTGAGAACACATTCAAAGGTTGTAATCAGATCACATAAATATTATATACTGATGAAATCTCACTTTGCCAGTTGGGACTTCATTGGAAAGTCCTGATGGAGGCACCTGAAGAAACAATTGAGTTGCAAGTGTTGAAATCACAAATTATTGTAAAAAAAGCACATGATTTTTATCTTACTTGGCTGCTACTTGGGACTCTATTAGAGATTCCAGAGGTGGCCTGAACATCAAAGGAGACATGTGGAAATTATACAAATTATCCAATTAACAAGTGATGAAATTATCACCTTTGAGCCTGCAGCTAGAAAGGCAATGCAAACAAGATGCACTGTGAGATTCATTGTTGCCTGGGCCAGGGTCAAGACTGCAATGGTTGCCTGGGTGTTCTGTCTGTTGTCCAGGGTAATTAGTTTTTGCACCTGCACACTTTCCCTTGGGATTTTCCAGGAAAAGGGGGAATCAATATTAATGCCTGCTCTTCTTTTTCATGGCTGCACAAAAATATTGAGGGAACAGTTGGAAGGGTTTGGTCCAGGATGCACCTCTGCTTTTTATTCAGCCTGTTGGCTGATCAGCTAATACTGAAAAGCCAATGGAAAGCCCTGGAAATTTGGTATCCCTCAGCTGATGTTTCTGACAAAAATTGCCAAACTTTGGCAGGTAACCTGTCACAAATTGGCACAAGAGCTGCTTTTAGAAGCTTCAATGATCAGCAGAGTGGTCAGATTTTGGATTCAGTTCAATCTTTGAAGAAATTTGACCAGTCTAAGGTCATCTTGATGTATTCACCTTTGGTTGACAACCTTCTGAAAGCTGTAAGTTATTTATTGAGTCACCAGGGTTACCAATCAGCTGACAAGAATTTATCTAGCATAACAAATCTGGGACTCTGGGTAATGGCAGAGAATGGATAATTTTCACCAGCCTTGAAAGCAGGGAAAATTTACTCCAGACCCTGAGATCTTGTGCTGTTTTGATTGACAGTCAAGTGATTGTTGCCACAGTCCTACCAAATATGCTCATTGAAGTGAGTGTACCTTGTATCATTGCTTCAGATTGGAAGATCTTTTTTTTTCCTATGATGATTTTCAAGATGTACATGGTGTACATGGTTGCCATAGGACACACACTTCAAGAGGAAAAATTTGCCATTTACAATGGCACAAAATTGACATTTGAAAACATGGAATACATTTATGAAAGGAGGATCAATTTGCAAAATATTACCATCAAGGCCTTAGGAGTAAATGTGAGTAACACCAAAAGTTGTTGCACAAACCTTACAAGAAAAAATGTACTCTGAAATCAGGCAGGAAAGGACCACTTCATCACTTACCAAAAATCCCAAAATGGAGGCATGCAAGTCAAAGGAGGACTATTTGGAGAAACATTCCTCACTCTCCAGAAAATCTTAAAATTTGGGTATATTCCCTTGAGACCAAAAATGACCTCTGAATTTTAAAATATTATGTTTTATTCCAGATACACTTTGCAGATGCTCCAGGGTTACCAATATGGTTCTTTGGAGAAGAATAACTCTTGGAATGGAGCCTCTGGCAAGCTCCAGAGGTCAGAGGTTGACATGACAGTCCATGAGTTGGCAATGTTGCCTGGGAGAGCAAAAGTATTTGACTTCTCAGTTCCTGTCTTAATTATCAAGTACTGTATACATCATGAACCTTTGATCAACCAATCAAGTAAAATAACATAATAACCAAGGGTCTTTCATCACAGGAACAGATTGTACCTGAGTAACAAGGCTGAAAAGGAAAACATTGAATGGGATGCCTTCATTAAACCTTTGAAGCTGGAGGTCTATAAAGTCCTAATTGGGACCTCAGTTTCCATAGTTCTTTGCCTATGGATTACAGGGTACCTAGTGAACCATGTCAGTCCACCTGCCACACCCTTGGACCCACTCACCTGGTCAGAGAGCATCTGGACTGTCATCTCAAGTATTTGCAATCAAGGTTAAAAACACATACTTTTCCATTATTTTACCACAGATGACTTCAAATTTAATTTATTTCAATGCATACATTGCTCAGTACTTTCCTGTTATCTCATAGTTTACTCAGTACCTACTTTCCGTTCACCTACCGGAAACTGTGAATTTTGTTTTCCGCATTCTGCTGAAACTGATTTTGGGAGGTGGTTAGGTAAAGTTAGGTTAGGTCAGGTTATGTTATTTTTGTTTTCTGCATTCTGCTGAAACTGATTTTGGGAGGTGGTTAGGTAAAGTTAGGTTAGGTCAGGTTATGTTAGTTACAAATATCTTTCAATTAACATAACCTGACCTAACATAACCTAACAAATACTGAATTCATGAGACAAAGAAAAATGGGTACTGAGATAACAGGAAAGTACCCATTGTCCTTGGTGTATAATTTTAGTCATTCCTGGCTTTAATACTATTTTTATACTGATGGTATCTGATGCATAACAATTTCTGTCTATATTAATTTAATGTAGGATGTGAATGGTGGCCTAAACTGTGGTCCACAAGGGTGGCTTTCCTCATGTGCTACATATTGTTCTTCATGGTCTACAATGGTTACAATGGAGACCTCACAGCTTATTTGACTGTGCAGAAGGACTATGTGCCCATCAACACCTTAGAGGACTTATTGGACCAGCCCAACTATGACCTTGGCACCAGGAGGAATGATCTAAACCAGGTCAATCTTGAGGCAAGTTCCTCTATGAGTTCATAAGTGAACTTTGGAATTAAATCACATATTTAAGATTGGTAAACTATGAAAAATGCTTCAAATTTTTGTCAGGACTTTAGAATAGATTTTTAAAACCCAAGATTAAGTAAGAAGTCAATATTTCATCAGGAACCTAATTTAGTGAACCCATGCTGTTGGTATCTTGAAAAATGTTGTTCAACTGCTGTTTTCACAATTTTCATAATTGTGTTGACTATAGTTAAAATCCCTCCACAGAACAATAAATCATCAAACTTCTGTCATTGGATCATTGCTTTCTCAACATATTCCCAAAAAATGCAGATGAGAATTTTCTCTTATTTTGAAAGCATGCTGAGCCAGGGACAGTGATGAACCAAATCTGGGAACAAAAGATGAAGAACAAGGTTGACCAACTTGGATCTGACAGTGTTGAAGAAGGCATCAAGAGAGCCATGACTTCAAAATATGTGTTCTTCACACTCAGTCTGGATGTTTACCCTTACTTGCACTCAAATTCAGAGGCAAAATGTTCCATTGCAGAGCTACCAACTGGCTACAATGGTGTGGGTCTGGCACTTGGCATGAGAAAAGGATTTCCTTACAAGAAACTCATGGACTACCAGTGAGAGCCATTTTGTATAAATGTGTTGATCCATGTGCATGATTTGTCCCTGAAACTAAAAAAAACTGATTTGTTTGTATGGGGCACATATGCTTTTAACCATGATTTTCAGATTTTATTTTTGTCTTCTTTCACTCACTTTGTGTCAATTACCAGCACAAATGTTTTATTTTTTTTATCTGAGCATTTTCACTTTTTATGGAAAAGGAGATTTCACACCTTTTTTCCATTCCAGAGATATGTCAAATCTTTTCACTATTAAGACAAAAAATGGTGGTCCATTTAAGCAGTCATTTCAGACAGAAAACAGGAAGACATGTTGTTCATCAGCATCATAATAAAATCTTTGAATACTATCTCAGATTCAAAAATTGTCCTCTGCCTTTTGACAGTATCATGAAGATGACTGCAGTGGGCCAGTTGGACAGGATGAAAAAGACCAACTTGCCTTCAAAACCAGTGTGTCTGCCATCCAATAATGTGGCTGCTGATCTTCTGGATGTGGCCACAGCCTTTATTCAACTGATGCTTGGAGCCACTGCAGCAGTCTTGGCACTGCTTCTTGAGAAACTATGTTAGTGATACAATTTTCATAAGTTATGTATGTACAAAGCCCAAATGACCAATTAAAGTACAGCTGTATCATGAATGATGCACCAGCACTTGGTGCCTCAAATTATAAACTCACTATATTACTTATAATTATAAACTGCACAATTGAGTCTTTGTTTTGGCCACAATTTTTGTGCCAAATTGTAAAATTTAAATTTATCTTATAGGTTTATGTGAATTGATATGAGAGGTTTATTTGGTTAAGACAATTCACTGTGTGCAAAAAATCCATGATCATTGTTTCTACATGAGTTTAATTCTGCTTACATATTGGAGCATCTGAAATGTGAGGCATCATTGTAAAAATTAATTTTAATGCAAATAAGCTGCATATGGATGAGCATCATGTTTCTTATTATAGGACCTTTAAAATGTTTATTGTATTGAGAGGACACAAATCTTAATCATTCAAAAAGAAAAAAGTTTTTCATTGTTATATTGGTTTCATATAATCAGTAAAATCCAAAAAAAAAGTGTTTGCAAACTTATATTTTGCAACAGATTCAAATGATTTTATATCCCCAATATTTGGATGTATTCTAAGTGTAAAATTATGTTTTTCTTTCCAGGGCAATTCTACCAAAAGAAGCAGAACAAGATAAAATCTTCTGCCTCTCAATTGGACCCACTTGCAGCAAGACTTGGGCTCCAGTATTGATGGGAAATTTTTTTTGTGTGTGTCTCCACTCTCCAGCACCCAATATAAAAAATTTAAAAATGGTTGATTTGCATTTTTAAACAGAGCAATACAATTTTGACCAGATTATTAAATACTCCACTAGCAAAAACAATTCAAATAAAAATAATTAAAGGCAATAAGCTCTAACAAAAGCAAAACTATGAAAAAATAATTATTCCATTTCAATTTTTGCATTGGTCTGAGTAAAAATGCCCCTTGTCAGTAAAAATTTGCAGAGAGGCTACTACTTTTTGCTATTATTTTATTCAGAATAGGATGTAATACTTGAAAAATTGGCAGTAATCAATACCTATTTTGAAAAACACAATCCATTTTATAAAGTGGGCATCATTCCTGTGAAGTATCCTTTTATGTGTATTCTTGTATTCCTTATCTGCAAACCTGA